AACGTTCTCAGTCGGAGCGCCATTCATCTCGTTCCCATGTACCTACTGCTCTCTGTTGCGATGCGAAAGTGAGAGCGAAATTCGCTCGGGCGCCACGCACAGCAACGCCACGTACCCCGCCCTAAATACGTACGGGAGAATAGACGCCGAACGTCGATTGATAATCGACGATTATATGCATTTCCATTCATCGAGTCTCTAGTGGTTTATTGCTCCGCTTGAATTGTTCGTATGCTCTGTTCCGAAGCGAGCGTTTAGTTTAATATTGCGTTATAAAACGTTCGTTTTGACTAAAAGAGGGCTGTGCTAACTAATCAAGGCATGACTACAATTGAACGAACATATATTCGAGTGTTGACATTAATCTCAAAGTCAAAACGAACCATAACAAACGACAGCTTAAAATCGCTCTGGGTAAATGTTAAACATTCTTAAATAAAGAGCCAGAGAGTCGATTGTGAGAACATGCCGTATACATCCGCATCGTTCAGCTAAATCTAAATATAGCGGGCGCCGATATCAGCGGCTCGCCCTTGAACCAGTCGCACGGAAACATTTTATTATTATTACTGAGCTGTCGGCGAGCACGAGTGTGTCGGGTCGTCGACCCCCACCGACCACGTGTCTCCTTATCGACAACTATCTAACACGATTGTCGGTAAACAACGGACCGAGATAAATGACTAATTCCACGGCACTTGTTTATTTGAGCCATTCATAAATAATCGCCGCGCGTCACAACGGCTTCGATGACAATGAGGCGCGTTCGATACGCAGTACGGTTAGATGTAAGTAAGCAAGTCTATAATGACGCTATGAAGGTCTGCTGGACAAAAGTTTACATGTCTCACCGTTCTTACAACGTATACGTACCAATGTGGGTTAACTTCGTTATTCAAAAACTAGTTAAATCAGGAGAAGAAAGAAATTAAGAGTTTTAGGCCTTTTACACTTTTAAATTTGCTCTCGACACTCATAACTCATCGAGACTTTCTCTTGTTCAAAACAAACGAAAAAATAACGCCTGCACACAAACCCGAAAACGAAGAAAAGCGCATCCACACACACACACACACACACACACACACACACATGCATACGTATACTCACGCACACACGCATCCCCGAGTTTCCGTTAATTGCATCAAAAGCTCTGGGGGGGCGGAAGTGGCGCGCCGCCGTGGGAAGTGGGCCACGAGGCGTTACGTAAGCCGGGCACTCGTTTGGGCCAGCCTACACGGGGCAGGCAGGCAGGCAGGTTAGGTAGGTAGGCAGGTAGGTAGGTACATCCTTACAAATGCGTGGCGGCCTTGAATGTGAACTCCGAGTGTAGGCCACGGCGGCCGATGCATTGTTTTACGGCCGGCCCGTTGCCGAACGCCGGGATTACAACGGCGATGAACGAAAGAGCGGTGCCTTGCGGCTAATATTCTTTAACAGGTTCCTTCCCAACATATATATTTATTTTATTGAACAGCAAACACCCATCTATTAGTGACTGTATTGGTAATAATTAAACCGGCGACGGATTACTTTATCCCAAATAAAATACACCAATGCAAATTCAACATTTGAACGGTGATACCACAACAACTTCATTACCAAATGCAGTGTAAATAATACAAGCAGTGGAATTTAATAGAGCATAATCTCAAATGGAGGTTAATACACTTCATGGGCTTACATAACCGTGAGAAAATACTAACTAGTAACTTCAGGTCACTAGTTTTGTTCCTAATTACCGTTACATCAAATACGGTATTAGCATTACAACGAATCTTAATACACCGGCACTGGCAAATAAAAAAATACTTCGAGCATGGCGGGCGCAATAAACCAGGGTCGACTCGAGGGCCCGGGCCGGTGAGCACGAAGAGAGAAAAAAAAAATAGGTCTGCCAAACGGAACGGAAAGCCTTTCAACTTGACGCCGCGTTAGATACACGTGTCAAATGCCTCACTCCATTCACGTTGATGCCCGTCAAACGTACGGCCCAAGCGCCGTCGGGTCCTATATAATGTAGGTATGTACCGGCGGGGGAAACAGCGGTTCGCTCCTACCCCGTTTCGGTGCCGTGAGGCGAACGCACAAATCTCCGCCTGGAAGCGGGTAATATTTGCCTACACATCAAAACTTTCACTATCGGCGCACGCTTTCGTTTTTATATCCGCCGGCGGCGGCCACAGGCCAGCTTTGTTGTTCCTAGGTGGCTTTTTCGGCTGCTGTTTCGTTTTTTTTTTTACTCTGTTGTTCGCTTCGCTTAGCAGCCGCCAAACAATCACGCACGACATTAAGTAGATGCAAAAATATATTTGTTACCAACATGTTACCGAGGATCACAGTTATACCATATCTTATAGTGTTCGGGAACAGACACTATATTGTGGGAAGTTATTACATAGGTATACTATAGATAGTTTTGATAGTGTGTGATAATGTTTACAACTGTCAATATATTGACGAATTCAAGTCAAAAGCACAAATAATATAAACATCAGAAAAAATCTCCCATAAGCGGATAACCTAAAAACATGGTATTTAAAAGAAATCTAAGTTTTATTGTTCATTTCCAATTTAATGAAGCAAGTTGATTTTCCCCACACTCTTAAATTGATAAAATTTAAACAATTATTATCAAATATTATTTGTAGTGTTACATATAATTTATGCAAATTTCATAATTACTGTACAAAAACTAACTTATCTCCATGAATGAAAATAATGTACAAGGCTAAAAATATATAAAAATATTGTAATCATAGCAAATATGAAATCAAACCAAGAAAAAAATTTTGCTAGATAAAATGAATGTCGAATTGATAATTCACTTTGGAGTATGACTTAAAATTCTGTTCAGGTTAAAGTAGTTTGACCCTATTCTTACCCTATAAAGTGCAACAGACAAGATTTATACTCAAAGGTGGATGGCCAATGCATAAAAACTGTTGAGTATGAATTTTAGAAATAGAAATCTTTTAGTTTAGTTCCTATCCCAATTATACGATTCATAATTAATGTTTGTATATAGGACAAATAATTAAATGTTAAAGATAATGCACAAATTCTAAAATAAGATATTTTTAACATGAAAACAAATTATTTTCACAATTGATTAAAATATTTGTTTTGCTGATAAAGTGATAATTGTATTTTTCATTCCTGTTAGCATTAAGTTGCACTCCATAGATAGATAGATAGAACCATCTATACAATAATAAAATCACCTGGGAATTTATTACGCCAAAAGTGTAAATCAAATAAGTACATAACATTTTTAATTAATTTTTAATGAATGATTAGGAAGGAGTTAAAAACACTTGCATGTTTAAAGTTAGTACATAGCACCTTGGTCAAAATAAAAATTGTAACTTGACTTCATTGTTGATGTGAAATGACACAAGTGAACTAATTACTAACAAAGATAAGGCTTGGAAGTGATAAAGAGGCATAAAGAGGAAAAACAAAGAGAAAGCCAAATAGAAAAAAACATAATTGCTTCAAGAATGAACTCCTTCCACAACTTCAGAGGTGTACAGAAAATCTGTGATGTTTAGAGGAATTATTTATTTATTTATAGTAAAGAAATTAATTTAGGATATGTTATATGTTTAGAGATTGAATTAACGCATCTTGGTCATAGGCTAACCTTGGCTTAATTGTGGATGTGACTTGACGGTTGTGATGGGCGTTGACATATTAAAGACAAAGACTACATTTAGAAATGGTAAAGAGATATTTTGATAAAGAGGAGAACAAGAAGAATGCCAAATACAGAGTAATAACATAGTTGTTTTAAGAAACTCCTTCATACCTACAGAGGTGCAGAGTATTTGTGGTATTTTGAAGAGTTATAGTAATAAAATAAATTATGTATGACAAATAGTTTTTTATAGATAAAGCATCTGGGTCAAAGACTAACCTAACCATTCTTAAGGATGTGATGTGTGAAAAAAAATATCAAAAATACAATTCCTCTCCAACCCTAGCAGTGGCGAAAAAGCTTTTTATTCATTTTCTACAACTTAGAAAGATTAAAAAATCAAATTTTATAAAAAACAAGATTTTCAAGAAGAGTATGATAACTACTAAGAGAGTAACAATTACTTCAAAAATTAAAGTCTTAAATGATGTGCAGATAAAATTAGTGATATTTCGATGTGATGATAGAAGAATAATAAATATAGATCATATGATAGTTGGTCAAAGAGAAGGCTGTTTAGGCTTAATAGTATTAATGACATAAGCTGACTAAATACTATTGAAAGTTTTAGTGAGAAAAATATCAGAAAGTGTTTAATGGTCTAGCAGTTACAAAATGCCAATAATAACTATGATAGTTTTAACAAATAACATCTTTCAGAAGTCAAATTCTGCCAACTGATTAAAAGTATTATTTTTGTTTTGTATCTACATTGTATGTCTGATATTTTATGTTGTTTATTAAGTTTTGCAAGATTTTTCACCTTTTAGATATAAAAAAAGATCAATTTTTCCCTGTGTTATACAAACAAAATTGTGTTTTACAATCAACTAAGCGTGGAAATATGTTTATTATTAACAAAGGGATATAACAAAGATATTCTATGATAGTAATCTTAATTAAGGATAAAGAGACAAGTGGACATCATTAAGTGCTTGGATAATAAACAAAAATATTGTTACTATTTGATAAATTTATGACAGCTTAAGTGGCATAAAAATAATGTAAATGTAAGAGCAAATATTAAGATTTGGAGTTTAGATTTTCTAGACAAAAATAACACATTTTTGTCTAGAAAATCTAAACAGCTTGATAAAAAATTTAATACAATCCTATCAAAACATGTTCAAAGATATAGAGAAGAATAAGAGGATACAATATGCAATATATATGCAAATGATTTTGAGTAAAAAAATCCAATATTGTAAATTTTTTCAAGTTATTACCAACATACTTAATAAGACAAGAAAACTGAAGTAACACTTATGCTAAGCATTGTCAATTATAATAAGAAACTTACTGTAGAATTTCTGTAGGGTCCTCCTTGAGGGTTATATGGAGGCATTGGTCTCGGTGGAGGCCAACCAGGCGCGGGCCCATATCCCGCAGGGGGCTGTTCATAGCTATTAGGGTAACGGTGTGGCGGCGCACCGCTCGATTGCAGCAATGAATTAAGCGTCGGCGTGGGGCCTGGTGCCTGGGCTGCGGGCTGGCCCGGGAAGAATCTCTGTTGCGGCGGCGGCCGCGGTTTACCAGGAAAGCCTGGCCGCGCGGCATAATACGGATCTGCGCCTTCCGGATATCGATATTGCCCGTACTGGTCAGTCACGGGCCTCTCACCGCCCCGATCGTGGCCCGGTGCCTCACCACCGTCGCGTGGCTGCCCCGGATCGACCGACATCGGCGACTTACTCTTTGTGTTCACAACGCCATCGGGCGGAACGCGCCCTACGCTCTTGTCAGTGCCGTTTTGTAACAGAGCGCTCCGAGAGTCACTGAGCTGCTCCGATGGACTCTGATCTACGTTCACTTCGCTACGCTGAGACTCTGCCTGCGTCGCAGCCATGTTCGGCTGGTAGCGGCCGTCCCTGCTTACACTCGCTCTAGCGATCGACCGGCTCACTTACGTTACATCGAAAACGGGCGTCGGATTGCAAAACCGCGACGCGGACACTTCCATCACTAATAAGCCGATGAACTTTGCACAAATTGTAACGCGAAACTGACGAAAAATCGTTCACCGACGCACACACATCAATCACATATCTATTCCATTGGCGTAAACGAGGTTATGGAAAAGGTTACATATCTAGCGGGCGCTTTTGTCATGTTCACACTGAACATTTCATATCACTTTCACATTTACAACACTTTAGGTGTGATCACTTATTGCAAAACTCATACCCTAACCTAGATACATGAAATACTCAAAAACAGAACAATAGAATCACGAAACTTCCAAAATTATTAGCGTCCGCCATTAAACGGACTTGAAATTCTACAGCACTGGGTGACGCTTTTGCCTATCTTCACATCAGTGACAGAAAAATAAAATGTTGCAGTAACAGCATGTTTAATCAGATATTCACTCTGATGTATATTTTTGCAATAGTATAATGATAAGCCTAAAATGTGAATCTTAAAGCACCAAATATGGAAAAATTAACCAAGAATTATCTGTGCATGTTTACATTTCCGTAATATTGCGACCACGTAGTTACTGCAATACTGCCAACCTCAACAATTGTCTATGACAAGTTCCGCTGGCGCCAAGACTTTCGTAGCTATGTTCACTTTAAAAATCACATCACTTTAGTAAATTAATCATATAACCCGTCAACAAATTAAATGTTTTTTGTAACATATTATTGTACAAATCAATTTTTTGCACCAGATAATATTTTATACAATTTCTGTTCAAATTAAATTAATTTTACGTAAAGAAAGTAGAAATTGACTAAAGCACACTTCATACCAACATGTTAAAAACAAACTTGTTTAAAGATAAAAAATTATACTATATACTCTGTTGTTTTTAATTACATAAAAACATAAAATTTAAATTAAAATAATTGTCAATACTAATTTTAAAAGGTATTCACATAAAAAAAACTTACATTTCATTATGTTACTTCTTGTTACCTAAATAAATCTTTATCAATATAAAATATATAATCACTTGACCATGTAATTTGTGTCGTAATATTCAGCTAATTATTCTAGTGATTAATTTATAAAGCATTAATCAATATGAATTTGGTAACTAGTGGGTCCAACCAAAACTTATCGCACTGGTTGTTTAAACTAAATTTAATCAAAATTATACATAATTTACCATTAAATGATAAATTGTTTTATTTAGCTACCTATACAGTTAAAAAAAAATTGTTTTCTTTCTCAAAAATCGGTAACCTCAAATTAGTAAACCATAAACTAAGAGGAAATTGTGTTATGTCATAGCAAGCTTTAAAATAAAATAAAATGGCAAAGTTCAAGATAATAGAAGAAACATAAGACTTAAGGAGGGAGCCTATCCTATTCCTCAAAGGCCGGCAAGCAATGCTGAATGATATTTATGTCTTGTCTAGGGCTGAATGCATTTCTGATTCTTCTGATGTCGCGAGGAATACCCGTGGTCGGCGGTGAACACTTATCGCCAAGTGATTAGCCAGCTCGTCCTCCCTTTCTATAAAAGAAAACCGGTCAAGTGCGAGTTGACCTCGTACGCCGGGGTTCCGTACCTACTTATTACACCGCCATAATAAAATTGGTAAATAATCACCACCGATTTTGTCAAGAACGGGTCGACTTAGCAAGATGAAATTTATACTGATATACATATATGTGTATATCAAGGTCCTGAGTTAACACGATAAAAAGATATGGGCGAATTTAGATTTTCTCGAAATGACTTGACTTTAATTTTCAAAAAAGTAGAAAATTTAGGTAAATTTTGGTCCACCATAACCCTCCGTAAGTGGGCGTATCTGGATTTTTATATAAAAAAGGGTAAAATAAATTAAAGCATGAATATTTTCAGGTTTTTTGGGCTCCGTACCCTAAGGGAATACGGGACCCTATTACCATAGAGCAGGGGTGAGCAACCTTTTTAATCAATGGGCCAATTTAAATTTTAAATTTTTTGGCGGGCCGCACATAATAATTTACGAAACTTTATTTATAATAAATATTAAAATAAAAAATATAATATTAAAAAAAGTAAAGATTTCATATACAAATTTTAATGCAAGGTAAAAACAAACAAGAAAAGAACAGAAAAACGAACAAAAAATATTTCAGTTCAGTACGTACTAACATTTTATTATAATTAATTTTTTACCAATATATTGATGGGAGAAATTCGATAAAATAAATTCAATTGTAGAAATGCTCGGCGGGCCGCATAAACATGTTGAAGGGGCCGCAAGCGGCCCGCGGGCTGCGCGTTGCTCATCCTTGCCATAGAGTAACTTTGTATACTTGCCTATTACTAAGACTCCGGCTCCGCTGTCCGTCTGTCTGACGTCAGTCTGTATCTCATGAAATGTAATAGATAGACAGTTGAAATATTCGCAGATGATGTATTTCTAATGCCGCTATAACAACAAATAGTAAAAAACAGAATAAAAAAATAATTTAAGTGGGGCTCCCATACAACAGATGATTTTGCCATTTTTATAGATAATGGTACGGAACTCTTCATGCGCGAGTCCGACTAGCACTTAGCCAGTTTTTTGTGTATGATCCTTATCCAAATATTAACATAGTTTACTAGATCAGCAGCAGCACAGATGCCATTGAAATAAAGTAAAACTTTTTTTTTAAATTGTTTTATTTTCGTTTCATTATACAAAGGTGGTTAACATTGTTGCAAAAATATTATTTTTTTGTACCAATATCGAGTCATTAAATTAGTTTTGTTTAATGATTGTCTGGGAAAACTCAACATACATTCATACAAAAGGTGTTATTATTTAATAACAATATCAATAATGTGATTCAGTTGATGTTAATGTTGATTTTGGTTTATATTGTATTATTTATCAAGTACAACAATTATATAAACTAAAAATATATTTTTTCTTGTGATGGAAATGAACATTAACTTTTATTGATATTGTATCAAATCATTTTGCAGTTTTAACTATGACATATTTATTACTTTATTATTTTAATATTTCGTAGCAAATCATAAATTGAAGTAGCAAAGTGTATTGAACCAACTTTTTAAAATTTGCTATTACATCTAAGCTAACATATTATTTATTAAAATTGAGCGAATGATTACAATGCCAAATATATATATCTCGTCTTTATAAAATTAACATAAACATAATTGAAAAAATCTATATAAAATTTCTATAAAAAAGTACATATAAATTAGTTATGGCATAAAATTATAACTAAACAATTATAAATCTCAAGTAAGTCTAGTTTAAGTACAAAGATCACGGTGTATTGTTAAAAAGCATGAAATGTGATTACAGATCTGTGGAATATGTAAAGCTTAGGTTTTAACATGTTTCATATAAAATTTAAATAATGTTAAAACTGTACAAATGACGAAAATTTTGCATTGCTTGACTAAACAAATGACTGCTCAGAAATAAGCTCAGTATAAATTAGAAATATGCAAATGTCTATTTACACTGTATTTCTTTCAAGAGGAATGTTTCATTCAGTTGTTTCATAATGCAACCATTTGCCTTCTGTTAGCAAACATTCATCAAATATACTACTACCATACCATTAATACTGAAATATTTCACGACTCTCCATTACATATCTACAGTAAGGCAATCTTTAAATCCAATTGTTTCATTATTTTACATAACTTAAAGCATGTCTCACACTGATATTGCATCTATTCTTTTTCGTCTTTCAAGCTTTATGAACACTGCTGTTTTGTTTTAGAAGTACACTACATCAATCAAGAGGAGCCAAACTCATCCATCCACGTAAGATATTTCTGTATGTCGCCCTTTGATACGGATTTATTGCACTTGGCTAGCGCTTCCATGAAATCCTGTCTGGTGACCGGCAAATCCAACTCTTCCTTGGCAAGCTGCTTAATCTGCTCTGGCTTCAATCCCGCTATTTTACGTCGCATCGACATCATGGACGCGTCGCTGTAACACAGATGTTATTAAAGTTATATTTACATAATGAAATTATAGTTAATTAAGTTTTCGCTTCAATTTTAGTTTCTATACAATTTTGCAGCATTTGACCTTATTTAGCATTGAACTTAACGTAAGTTTATTTAATGGTGATTAATTATGATTAATATGAGGTATATTTATGTAACGCTAGCAGACTGGACAGACATAGGACTGTACACGCGACTTAAATTCGTAAACTTAGAAATAAAAAATATTAAAAAAAAAATTGTGGACCGAATTGTGAATCTAAACCATTCTCGAATAATTAAAATTGGTCCTATCACACAGAGGAATTATATACAGCGTGTCGTTACAACCGCGACTATAAATGAACACACGTCTAACGCTACTTGCCAATAATCATAAAAAAATATAAAACGTTAAAAACAATTCGTAATTAAAGAAAAATATTTTTCAAACAAACTAATTCAATAAAAAAGAAACAAAATTTGTAACATCCTATACAACTACAACTGACTGATTCACACATTCAGAGACTTTTTCATTCGTTGCCACAACATCCCATTACAAGTATCTCCTTCTAACAGTATGTTTTATCTCTTTTAAATTCATTCAACCCATTCATATTCTTTGTGACCTTTACTAAAATGTTTGTTTTGTAAAATTTAATAACTCGGTAAATATTGCTGTTTAAAGTATGTAAATACATATTAAATAATACAAAAAAAATACAATATTAAAAAGTTATCCTCTATATGTGTGTCAATTATTGTCGCAGTTGTAACGACAAGCTGTATATAAAGATAAATGGATTCATGGAAACTGGAGATAATATCTATCTATTTCTCTCTAGGCGACAGGAAGAGTGTGAATGTATTATAAATTTATGATACGTTTTGTTTTGCAGAAACAAGCTCACCGGCAAACGTTAGTAATGTCAGCCCCCGAGTACCCCTCGAGCTTTTTGGCAATCGCTCGAAGATCCACTTCGGGGTCAACCTTCACCTCTCTGAGATTGATCTGGAGGAGCGCCTCTCTTCCCTCTTGCGTGGGCAGAGGTATGTAGATCCGCTTCTCGAGGCGCCGACGAAGCGCCTCGTCTATGTCCCAAGGGAAATTTGTCGCGGCTAACACCATCACAACCTGCAAAAGTATTTCAGTCACACTGAATTAAACATATCCGTAGGCTTAAATAAGGCTAGATTCTTGACGCATGTTTTTTGTTTAATAAAATTGATCTAAGGATTTTTTGTGTAAGGCATTCGCGTATATATAGTTACTAGCTGCCGCCCGCGACTACGTCTGCTTAGAGGGGTGAAAATTTAGGGTTGTATGTATTTTGTGTATGCTGTGTCATAAAAAAATAGAAACAAAAAGTTTTATATAAAAAATAAAAAAAAAATTTAGGGGTGGACTACCCCCTTAACATTTAGGGGGACGAAAAATAGATAGTAGCCGATTCTCAGACCTACTGAATACACATATAAAATTTGGTAAAAATCGGTCGAGCCGTTTCGGAGGAGTTCAAGTTCGAACCCCGTGACACGAGAATTTTATATATTAGATGATATCCTTGTATATTTTTTTATTTCCATTGAAAAAATTAATACTTCCTGAAGGCAGTGGATTTATTATTCCGTATGAGTAAGGGGTTTTAACAACAAAGATAAATAGTATGAGTTGTTACTCAGGAACGTATTAAGGCAACATATTAAAATATTAGGACAACGTAGGTACCCCGTCTACAAGCACCCAGAGTGCTGGAGGGGCGCGCTGCCTTCGCAGATTCGTCGTAAGGGGTTGTTAACAAATATAAATTATGTATTGCCAAAATATTAGGGCAACATAGGCAGGGAAAAAAAGCGTCAGATGGCTCTTGAGCCGTCTAGAAGAGTCTCATTCCATCCAGAATGCTGAGGGGACGCGCTACCTTCGCGGGCTTGTCGGTGGGGTCTTTAACTTAAGATAAATGGCACTCAGCACTGTTCCGTGACAATTAGGGCGAGAAACGTCAGACGTTTCTAGACCTGTCTAGAAGCTTCTAGGATACCTTCGCGGGCTCGTCGGTAGCTGAGCCGAGGCCGTCCATCTGCACCAGCAGCTCCGACTTGACGCGGCGCGACGCCTCGTGCTCGCTGTCAGATCCGCGCCGCGAGCACAGCGAGTCTATCTCGTCGATGAAGATCGTGCTCGGCGCGTAGAACCGCGCCTGTGGACACGGTGAACAGTGAAATGGCAGCCTTTTCAGTGTGGTAGGTCCGCGCAACAGCTTCGGCTGTTGCAAGAACGGGCAGGTCCGTCGGGGTAAGTGCCTAGACCTCACAGAAGACCGGCGTGAAGTGGAAGTTGTTACACTTCTGCGTTTCGTCTGGTGAGTGAGGTAGCCGGGGTCCATTTTCAAAGGTTGCCAACGCATCAGCAAGCCATCGGGTGTGGCAGATGTCGGGGGCATTCTTTTAACATCGGGTGAAGCGCCTGCTCGCTTGACAAATATCGCATAAAAAAAAAGAAATTACTGAGGAAGACGCCATCGCCATTTCGACCGCAACAACGGCTCCCGGAGATTATTAGGATTATGGATACGTCGACGCGATTTCCTCCAAAAGATTTTCCCCCCTCACCATTTCGAAGAGCAGCCGCACCAGCTTCTCCGACTCGCCGCGGTACTTGGACGTGAGGGTGGAGGAGGAGACGTTGAAGAAGGTGGTCCCGCACTCGGTGGCCACCGCCTTCGCGAGCATCGTCTTGCCGGTGCCGGGCGGGCCCACCATCAGCACGCCCTTCCACGGCCGCCGGATGCCCTGCGGAGCGGAACGAACGAGTGAACGACGGACCGGCTCCATAGAACGAATATGCGAATGGGATTCACCGATCAGAAAATAGAACGAACGGGTGAACGACGGAGCAAGTTCGGAGAACGAACGGGAGAATGGGATTCTGGAAAATAACTCAAACTTTGATAGAACAGTAGGAGTTCGGAGGACGAATGGGTGAATGGGATACGGAAAAATCTTGACAGATGGAACAATAGATGGTTGAAACTATTTTAGGGATTTCATCGCGTACTAATTTAATTTTTAAAATGTAAAATAGATTTTAACCAAAACGGGAAATTAAAGATTAATATTAGTTTAAAACGGTATTAATGTTTTTAGAAAAAAATGGACAAAGTTTTTCACAGTTGCGGGAATCGAACTAACGTTTGAGATGAAGATTGTTAGTCAAAAAAAATTTAACCCCATACTAGTATTTAATCAATCTTAACATAAATGAGATATAAACATCATAAAATTTAAACATCTGAACTTTTTGTTATTTTCATATTTACTCGTTGAAGTTAAACACTTCTTAAAAATGAAAGAACGGCAATTCGCAAATTATAAGTAAAGTTTTAAACATAAAGTGTAGGGTTTGACATAAAATAGGACAGTTAATATTGCTTCAGAGTTTAGCTGGATTCGGACATTGGTACGGTGGGAGGGCCACGCAGCAGCCTCGGCTGTTGCACGAATGTGCAGGCTCGTCCGGGTAAGTGCCACCTCACAGAAGACCGGCGTAAAGTTGAAGTGTTAACTAAGCGTGTACTTCTGCGTTTCGTATGTTATACTGGGCCCACTTTATTAAAAGCAAACCTACGGGCGTTGGTAACGACCATGGGCGGTTGTTACTTAACATCGGGTGAGCCGCCAGATCGCCTGCCATTTTCTTACATAAAAAAAAATACTAGTTATAAAAACAAGCTTTAGATCGAGGCCGTAAACCGCACATGGATTCTCACACTAAAAGGATGCAATAGGCAGTTAGAACACTTCAGTCAGAAAAAATTATATACCTTGAAGAAATCCGGCATCCACATTGGCAAGACGACCGCTTCCTCCAACAACCGCTTCGCTTCCGCAAGGTCCGCGATATCGTCCCACCTTATGTTTGGATTCTTTTGTACTATGTCCCTCTCTGCAATGGGAAAAATCGAGTATTAATTAATTTGACGGGTCGAGTGAAATGGACGGAGGAAATATGAGTTTTTTCTGCACACGGATCCTATAATGTATAAAAAGTTTAGTTTTAGTGTTAGACAAACTTAACTATCTGATACATTAATGATATGAATTTACAAATTTTAAATAACTCCCTGACACAAAAAAAACTCAAATTTAAATCTTGTCTTGAACTATGTCGATCTCGTCAGCTTTCAAACAAAAAAAAAAATCGCACCATAATCGGTCCATTTGTATAGAAGCTACGATGCAACAGACAAACACACAGATACATACAAACGTCTAACTTATAACATCCCTCTCTTTACGTCGGGCATTAAAAAGATAGCTGTTATTAAAGTTGCACCACAACTGTGTCATCCAAAGATTGAAAAATGTCTTTAGCATCAAGTCCAGTAGCGGATTTTAGCATAGGCCCCGCAAGGTCCGGCCAAATAATGGCTTCATTTTAAAACCTAAGACTCCACCGAGCCTATATCGATAAGTCTGCGTTTCTACACTATTTTATAAACCGACTGCAAAAAAGGCGGTTTTGTTTTTGATAATATTACTGTATAAATGTATTAAAATAAATATATCAATACAGTCGACATTCCACGAACTCGGAGTTAGCGGTTTGCCTCGTCGTTCATTATATTATTCGCATTTCGCAGAGCAATGGACGGCGTGTTTCCGTTCGAACGCGACGTAGGCGTCTTCAAGGCAATAAGCGTATCGCTTTTACCGACTTGGAATGCATTTACCATCTTCGACCTTCTTGTTAAAAATGTTGATATGTTTATCAGCACATGAAATGAACAATTTCATTGTTTGCTCGGTGCTCGAGTATATCGAATTAAAAGCGAGCGCGAGTGTTCTGATCTGTCACGGCTCTAGAGTAGCAATGTGGTCCTCTGTGACTTTATTTGCAGTTGGTTTTTTATGTTTGTAGTAAAAATGTAAATTTATCGCTTCGTGAATGTTCAGTAGTAGCATCATATCTTGCAGCTTGTACTTTCTCTCTTTTTAGGGTTCCGTACCCAAAGGCTAAAACGGGCCCCTATCACTAAGACTCCGCCGTCTGTCCGTCTCTCTGTCCGTCTGTTACCAGGCTATATCTCATAAACCGTGATAGTTAAGACAGTTGAAGTTTCCACGATTGATGTATTTCTGTTGCCCCTATAACAACAAATACTAAAAAAAAACCAGAATAAAAAATTACGAAAGTACGAATGGGCAGGCCCGTCCGTCTTAGTAGCACCACCTCACAGAAGACCGGCGTGAAGTAGAAGTGTCGCAGTTCTGCGTTTCGTCTGGTGAGTGAGGTAGCCGGGGCCCACTTTACTATATAAGGTGGCAACGCATCTCCAACCCTACGGGTGTTGCAAATGTCCACGGGCGGCGGTTATCAATTAACATCAGGTGAACCGCCAGCTCGTTTGCCACATAATAAAAAAGGAGAACATCTGGTCCGTTCTAGAAAGTTCGAGACTCACCGAGCATGTCGACCAGGTCCCCGTCGGCCGCCGACGGGGGCTCGAACCTGCGCTCCTCCTCCTTGTGCCGCTCGTCGTCCGTGTCGCCGTTGTTGTTGTCCCTGTCTTGCTTGTCCTTGCCGCCGCCCTGCTCCTTGGCAGCGTCTTTCGCCTTCGCTGGAAACAACACGCGCGCGTTACGACGGTACCACGTCTAACTCAACGCACAGACAGACATTCGGTAACGGTGATATGGCTACTGTCGTCATAAATGCCACACCTCAGAGGTAAACCGAGCTAGCGCGCTTACCATCAACGGTTGCAACGCTACTGACCATCAGGTGGGATGGCAGTCAAGTGCTGGCCAGTTTTTGAATAAAAAAAAAGGGCTTTATGTGACAAGACACAAATTTTACTGGAGTCAGGCAAAATGCGTGAGTGAATCCATTATTCATTATGATCTCATTTACGATTCGATATTTTATTATATAAAAATGTGGAGTTACTATTGTATGCCTGCGAGGTGTTCAACGGTGGTAGAAAAAAAATCAAAATCATTTATTCATCGAAATAAGAAATATACATTTCTTTTATCGATAGTCATTTTTTAAATCTGCCACGTAGAGCCACGCAGCAATCTCGGCTTTTGCACGAATGGGCAGGCTCGTCCGGGTGAGTACCACGACCTCACAGAAGACCGGCGTAAAGTGGAGGTATAATACTTTCGCGTTTTATCTGGTGAGTGAGGTAGCCGGAGCCCAATTTTCAAAAGGTTGTCAACACATCTGGAACCCTAGGGTGTAGCATATGTCCATGGGCGGCGGTATTCGCTTAACACCAGGTGAAACATCTGCTCGTTTGGCAACTTTTCACATAAAAAAGGTACAGAATGGTTCTTACTATGGCAGGAAAGTTTTACCTTGTTAAACTACGAAAGTTTTACCCCGAAGGTCCTATTGGGTAATTCTGATAACGCTTCTGTTGTTAAAAATGGTTCTGACTTAGGTAGTGCCACGAATGAAGGTGCGTCCGCGGAGGTACCAAGGCATCACAGAAGACAGGCGTGTGTTTGGTGAGTAGGTGACCGTTTATGTGAGAAAGTGTCATTCGAGCTCGCGGTTCACCTGGTGTTAAGTGATGTCCCCCAACCATGGGCATTTATAACACCCGTAGGCATGCACATGCAGTTGGCAACGGCCAAATTTCAATAAAGTGAGCCACGGCTTCCTCACTCACCAGATGAAACGGATGAGTGTATACACTTCACGCCAGTCTTCTGTCAAGTCGTGGTACTTTTCCGGACGGAACTACCCGAATGAGGACGAAATTTCGTCCATTGCACGAGTGTGCAACAGCGAATACTGTTCGCGGGGCCCTACAACGCTTTTTCGTGGATGGTATTATTTGTCATAAAATGAACGCGCTTGGCTTTAAAAGGATTTTCATACAGAGGCTATATCGGCTGTATGCCGACTCGCCCTTAACAATTCCGAATACATTTTGCATAGCTACGCAAGTGCAGTTTTGTTTTTCGCCCATTGTGCATGTCGCAACTTGTTTAACTCAACTCCCGTTTACAAATAGGCTCATGTTGCACCTATTGTGATCGTACGGCCATCTAGAGCGTTCTCTGGTTGTCTTATATCGCGCCTTTGGCCTGGCTTGAGATGGAAGCCAGGCTAGCAAATAGTTATGATTATGGATCCGTATGCCGCAAAGTACGCAAATAACAAAGTGTCGTTCGTTGCGGCGTTCTAAGGGCTTTGTTCGGCAATGTTTCTTTTGTACGTAGGAAAATATGGTGGTTCACCTGATGTTAAGTGATGACCGCCGCCTGTGGACATTTTTAACACCCAATGTAGGGCTACAAATGCGTTGCCATCTTTGAATGAAGTGGGCCCCAGCTACCTCACTCACAAGACGAAACGCCGAAGTGTAACACTTCCACATCACGCCGGCCTTCTGTGACTTCGCGGTGTTCCCTCCGACGTACCTGCCCATTCGTTAAACAACGAAGAATGCTGCGTGGCCCTAACACAGCCAATATGGTCTTCCGGATTATGATAATGATAATACCGAAGCGAGTACTGCTCGCCGATACATAAGATGGAAGGAGAAATTATGGACAGGTCTTTCATCATCTCAGGTTACGCGGCTCTACTACAGCAGAGAATTGGTTGGAAAAAGGTCATATTTTCGGTTCAAGGTTATCAAGGTTTCAAGTTTTGTTTCTATTCTACAATATTTGAATATTAGTACAATATTATATCACGTCTCAAGATTATATCTATTCTTTTATGGAGGCTGACTAAGTTCAGGTTAAGTTTTCAGCGAAACGATTGAATCATATGAAGCAAACAGCGTGTAAATGAAACTTGCTGTTGTCATCGCAACACTCGATGGCGTTGCGATCGATGTAGATCACGCTATCGATTTACACTAAGGTAAATAGGGTCACCAAAAATTTTTGAGCATTAATATAACCACCAACAGATCAGTACACAGTGTTTTATTTATTAACCTCCTAGTATGCACAACTACTATTCAAAAGACTACCTCGGCTTTTAACACAGCGTATATTTGTAGAGTAAAACGGTAAAATATATTTTAACTAATGCCTATACACTCATCGGTGAAAAGAATTCTCAATTGATATGTGGTCACTCCTATAACCTTCTGCATGGCAAAAGCACTTAATTAAAAATAAAAACTGTTCTGTTGAGACAGTTGGCGATACCGTAGAAAAGTCGAATCATCATTTTTACGCCGAGCTACCTGGAAAAGATCTCACAGAAAGGTTTGACTCTCGTAGACGCCTAAGAAATTTTTAAACGTCTCAAACGTGCTTGTGAATTTCTAGCACCCTTGAATTGAGTTTCACCTTTGCTGGGAAGATTTTTTTTCATCCAAGTTTTAATTAATATTTGCATTTTATGACTTTGGATGGATGACTCGGCGGTGTAGTTGTTAAACTACTGGCTTTGGGGCCGCGCTTTCAATTCCCACCACGGAGAAATATTTGTGTGATCCACAGATAATTTTCCGGATTGATGGCGGTCGGGTTAAAAACCTAATCAATAGCAGATCGTAGTGCGGATCCGCAAAAATGTGGGATATGATGTTTTATGATTTATGTAAGGGGTTGGGTAGTAAGTCCCAGCGACCTAGAAGATCTATTGTAGTCTTCCCTTCGACCAATGTGGCATAAAGACAGGAGGATAATGATCTCCCTCTATCTAAAATATTCGTGTCACATTTTTTATCGCATACCGCATTAGTTCTTGATTATTTACGCATCGACTAAGGTAATTACTAGAAAGTAACTAGAAATTATTCTTTGAAAACAAAACATTTCTCAAATAGCTTATGGTGGGCAGATTTTAAAATAAGGCTAAAGCATATATAAGAGTTAGTGCAAATTCTCGATAAAGGAACGGTGACCAGCCAGCCAAGGCTTTTTAGCTTTTTAATTATGTTTCAAAGAACGTATCCAGATATTTTTCTTGGATTACTTAGTTCCCGTTTCTTTATACAGCGTGTCGTTACCATCGCGACAATAAATGAACACACGCCTAACGCTACTTACCAATAATCATAAATAAATATTAACGTTAAACAAAATCCATAATTTAAAAAAAAATATTTTTCAAACAAACTAATTAAGTAAAAAAGAAAAAAAATTTGTAATATCCTATACAACTCGCGCCACAGCGTCGTATTACAAGCCTCTCCTTCTAACAGTATGTTTTGTCTCTTTTAAATTCATTCAACCCATTCATATGCTTTGTGACCTTTACAAATACGTTACGCTTTTATAGGTAAGGTGTTCTAAAATTCTTTGTTTTGGAAAATTTTATAACTCTGTAAATATTGATGTTTAAAGAATTTAAATGTTTAATACAACTTTAAAAAGTTATCCCCTATATGTGTGTTCATTTATTGTCGCGATGGTAACGACACGCTGTATATATATAGTTAATTTACATAGTTGGCCATCGTTTTTAGAGCACCCTGTACATCGTACTCACCGCTGTGCGCTTTGGACGAGTTCACTTTGGGGTTCTTCACGTCTGACGTCTTCCGTTGCGAGGTTGTGGCGTTCCGCTGCGCCGTGGTGGGCTTCTTGTTGTCGCGGTGGTTGCGGGCGTTGTTGCGGGCGGACTTCGTGGCGGGTGGGCCCCTGGATTATGGCAATTCTTTTTTATGTGAGAAGTTGCCAAACGAGCAGGCGGTTCACCTGATGTTAAGTGAATACCGCCGCCCTAGTACATCTGCTACACCCGAGGGTTGCAGATGTGTTGACAACCTTTTGAAAATTGGGCTCCGGCTACTACACTCACCAGACGAAACGCGAAAGTATTTGTTATCCTTCCACTTTACGACGGTCTTCTGTGAGGTCGTGGTACTTACCCGGACGAGCCTGCCCATTCGTGCAACAGCCGAGGCTGCTGCGTGGCCCTACCACCTAAATATTTTCTTATGTCAAAATAAAAAAGTGCGAGTCGGACACGCGCACGATGGGTTTAATTTAATTAAGGGTAATAAGGGTTTAAATTATTAAACAGTAATGAAAATTCGTATCGGATGTATTCGGTTCTGCAACTGTACTTCAATGATTATACTTTTATTTATATTCCGTATTAAAGAGTATTAGTGAGTGCGAGTTTTATTTAAGCATATTACACCATATTTAAGTAAACGTAATATTTTTCAATAAAGCACCGTGTGCGGAGCTGAAAACAATATTCTGACAAATACTTTGATAAGTGACTTAAAAAGCAAAGAAGCATTTCAGCACAAAGTCTTTTGGGAATTCCTATTAACTAGTATGGAATATTAAAGTACTTAGAACGTATTAATAATGTTTAAGGTATTCATCAGTAAAATTGATATGGTATAAATTCAACAAGCATCGTATTGTGAGACGGAGGTTGTATAAACATTTTTTTAACTTAACACGTGTGTGCGTTCATATTATAAACGGAAAGTGAGTTGAATAACTCGCTACAGCTTAGCTTTGTACGGTTAAGTTATTATAATTCGTACGGTTTTATTTGGAAGTGTTACTAAAACATTCAAGTCCAATCCGTACGAAAAGAGAATTGATATATAAGACTTCAAAATACATACTAGTGTATTAAACCTAGTTTGATAACTCCGTGGCGCCGTTGCCAAGGTATCGGCTTCGGCGTCGGGGGTCGTGGGTTCGATTCCCACACGGGACAACTATTTGTGCGACCCACAAATAGCTGTTTCGCATCTGGGTGTTTGTCCTCGTGCAATTTATGTTTGTAAAACGTCCTTACAACACAGGATAATGTTATCCTAAAGTGAGGGCAATGTTTTAAAAAAAAAGAAAAAAAAAAAAGAAACCTAGGCCAGGGCCAAAAAATGCTCTGAATTTACTATAGCTGATTTTCAGCCAGTCAGCAAAAAAAAAATATTTCTTAATTATATTATTATATCATTCATTGTCATCAAATTTCACCGCTGGGCAAGTGATAAGTTCTTAAAATTAACAATTTCATTGGTGCCGGCACCGGGGATTGAACTCAGGTTGCGAGTATATTAAATTAAAGTCGAGCGCTCGACCATTGACTCCCGGTTTCTGAAAAACTGATCATTCCGATAATTATGATCATTCTAATCAATTCAGGGAGTCAGACCATCCTCTTGTCACCTCAAATTACATCTGAAAAGACTTTTGACAGCTGATTAGTTAGTTTCTACGATGATCAGTTTTTCAGAAACCGGGCATGAGCTAACACGAATTATGAACGAATTATATGTTCGAATTGTTACTTGTGCTCGACGCTGGTGGGTGGTGGCCAGGCGTTGGGGTCCCTGTCGGGAGGCGGTGGCCAAATGTCCGGGTCGATCTCGTGGGGTGCCGGGCCCCACATCTGGTCACGGGTAGGCAGGTCCTCGTAGTCTGCAAAGGAGCGATCAAATTTTTCCATCGTAATTTTATAACATTTTATCCGCATCTTATTTCATAAAAAAATATATAAAGTAATCAATAATCGAACGCAGTTTTCGTATTTACAATTATGAAAATGGTTTTTTTATCCGGAAACATATCACTCATACTCATTCCAGCAACACCCGTGTAATTGCAGTTACGTTAACATAAATCAATCAATTCATCTAAGGCGTAATATTATTATTTATGCTATCACATTTAATAAGGAGGCTCGGTTACATTTGCATGAAAAATAAAATAAAACATTCTTCCAGATTAATAAAATGGATAGCCGTTAGAACATAAACCAAACCCGAGCACAAACTTCGCATTAAAAACGCATCAAATGTAGATTGACCTAACCCACAGAAGCGAAGAAACAGTACGTTTCTACTACATCTAGGAATATACACATAAATCAACATTTGCCCTTTTCGTCAATAAGTCAACCTAACTGTACTGCACTATCGAAGTTAAAAGAACAGATTCACTAAAATACATCGCGTAATTTTGCATGAAAAACTTTCATTCAAATAATATACATATAGTGGATTGCCACTATATGTATATTATTAACATGTTCTTAAACTAATCCTAGTCATGAAGACTTCGTTGAGTTGACCGTAATGTAAAGATGGTGTAATCAAAGTTACCTCATAATGTAATATTGAATGTAGTAGATATTGGGTATGGTGGGTGGTTCTTTTACTGTATTCCCTTGAAGCGAAAGAGCACGTAGAAGCCATCTTAATTGGAGTTACAATTGAAGAAAAATTCGACTTCTTACATATGTATCGCAGAAAATTAGAGTAAAAGTAAAATGTCACAACATTTACAAAAAATCTACATGTCACAACATTTACAAAAAATCTACTGTCACGTCTTTCTACGTCGTCAACAAAGTACCTTCTTTATCAACTCTGAAATACGTTTCGTTGTCTATTTACAACTAATATTAACGAATCGCTTAGAGACGGGACGTGTTAATCGGTGGTGGTGCCGAACGCGTTGTTTCTAATACGTGCCTATGCCGCTACTTCCGCAACCACACTTCCCTCGTCGTTCACACTCGAGATTCGGAGACTATTTTCGTAGCGTGCGATGCTCAGTTAAGCCCCTATTTTCTGGTTTGCTCTGGAATCTATCGCCCGCGTAAAACTCGATGTTGGCCAACATTAAATGCTCAGCGGTGAAGGCAAACGTTCCGAGGAGAACCGCTTGTCAAAAAAAGTAAAAAAAAAAATAACTCGAAGGTATGCAAGTAATTCACGTGTTGTTTTGCGCTTACGTATTTTCCTTTCACCTCCGATATAAAGGTGATGATTATTCCTACGGGTTTTATTTTTTACAATACGTTGGTCATTATTACGATGGCTGTAGAACTCGATGTCGCGATTTATGTTACTTTTATAACTGTATAATAAGTGCATATAATTAATCATATGTATATATAACTTATAACGATAAAAAACCTCACAATGGTTGTTATAACAAAAGGCATATGTGCAAATTCCCCTCTCATCAGTTTCATCTAATAAGTAATCATCGTCATCAATGGGCATCTGGTATACCAGCAGAGTTTAATGTGCTTTGCCAACCTTTCGAAGGGTCAAGACCTCACTTACCAAATGAGAAGCAGTATAAATAATCCTACTTAGTCCGCGTCTATGTGAGGTCATACAATATCGGAGCCAAAGTCTCAGTATTTCTCTCCACTCTTTTCATGAAATGTCTTGGACTATCTTCGCAAAGTCTTGTAAAGTGGACTATGCTCCAATACCTGCCGTGAGGAGCTCTTTGCCCAGGAGTTGAACATATACAGGCTGTTACTTTACTTTAATCTTCACGAGTTGCTGTCCGTACTTCACGGCGAAACGGGAAATTAATTTCTTCTCGTTCAACGCAATCAATCGATTAACGCCACCGCTACCCATTTCACGGCGACGGCTTTCGAAACGCGAAACGCGCTCGGCGTAGCCCTGTCGCTCCCTTAACCGGTTTCGGCGATTTAGCCGAGATCGCGTGCCGAATCGTCTCGAAAGGTCTCCCTTAACGAAACGACGCTGAGAATTATCGACAGCATTTTAACTGTGGCAGGCCACGCAGCAGTCTTCACTGTTGCAAGAATGGGTAGGTTCGTCCGGGGGAGTGACACGAACACACAGAATACCGGTGTGAAATGGAAGTGTTATAATGCCGCGTCGTCTGGTGGGTGAGGTAACTGGGGTCCACTTCAATAAAAGGTGGCAATGGACCTGCAACACTACAGTCATTGCAAATGTCCATGGGTGGCGATTATCACTTAACATCAGGCGCATCCCCAGTTCGTTCGCCACCTTCGCAAAAAAATAGCATGTATATTATTTCAATATCAGATATATAAAAAAAATATTGTGCTCCTTGTAATCGAGGTTTCTGTTTCATCTAATAATTTGAGCTCGTTTTACCAGTAATTTTGTAACAACGAAGGGTTTACAATCAGCTAATGACCGTCAATACGGTTAGCGTTCGTACCGCAGCGCTGAATCAATCAAGCCAATACGAACCGGGCATCGATCTTCAGGAGTAATTTATTTATTTATTTATTTATTTGTAGCATCACAAAGCAGAATGACAACGTATTTAAATAATAATACAAAGGCAATATTATAACATTCAGTTGACATTCCAAGTATCCGACGACAGCAAGTTATATAAGAAAAAAACAAGTAAATTGATGGTACATACTATAAAAGTGACAAAGAAAGTGATAAATATTTGTGACAAAAGATAATAAAAAACTTATAACTAATAACTATATAGCTAAAATAGAATAATTTAGAACAATATCATGAAGCATTTAAGGCTGCTTTTAATCTCCGTTTAAATGTGAACAGATCATCACCCAAAATATCCAGCTCAGGATGTTTCAGAACCAGGGAATTATAATTTCGGCTAATTCTAGATAGAGGTTTAAGGCCCATTTACACGATGCCATTTTCTTGTACATACAAGAGCAATAATTGAATGCAATAAATTGCGCGCAATAATTGTTTAGACAATTTGTTGTTTAGACCATGCAACTCATTTATTGCTTCAATTTAATTGTATACAACAGGCAAGAAACTGGCACCATGTAAATGGGCCTTTATTGTAAGTGATGTTTGTACGATGAGTTGGAACATAAAACAGTTCACATTTTCTTAAATTGCGCATGGGTACATTAACAGCTATATTTCCAAGGAGTTCAGTTTTCAAGTTACCTCTTAGTATTTTATTAAAAATTAACATGTCAATCATCAGCCTGCGGTTTTGTAAAGTAGACATACCAAAATAGGTACATCTATCTGTATAAGATGTGAGAGTACGCTTCATTCCCAGGCGATATGAAATAGTTCTCAAAAATTTTGCCTGAATACTTTCGAGGCGATCTATATGCACCGTGTAGTAAGGATTCCAAACAATACTGCAGTTTTCCAGCTTACTACGAATTAAACTATTGAAGACTTTTATATATGATTCAGGGGTACGAAAGCCTTTACAACATCGGGAAATAAAGCCAAGCGTCCTGTTACAAGTATTGAGTAAGTAAACATAATGGTCCCTAAACGATAGCGTGCAGTCCATGATTATTCCTAAATCTCGTGCCGTAGTTTTCCAATATAAGTCCATATGATTGATAGAATACTGAAAGTCAGTTTTCTTCACAGCGCTAGATGAGAAATTAATACAGAAGCATTTTTGGACGTTGAGAAACATGTGGTTGTTATTACACCATGTCGTGATTAAATCCAAATCTCGTTGCAATAGTATGCAATCCTCGTTGGTATTAATACTACGAAATATTTTTAAATCATCCGCATACATCAAGCAGGGTGAGGATAAAAGTGGCACAAGATCATTAATAAAGCAAATAAAAAGCAATGGACCCAGATTGGAACCCTGCGGGACGCCTGAAGTCACTAGAGTCGGTTCTGATATGTAGCTTTTTAAAGTAACTATTTGTGATCTTTTTTCAATATAAGATTGCACCCAGCGAAGTAGGCTACCATGAATACCCATAGTATCCAATTTAGATATTAACAAACGATGATTTACCTTGTCAAATGGTTTCTTAAAATCTGTGTAGATAGAATGAACTTCAACTCGGTTATTGAAGGAATTATAAATATAATTTGTGTATTCCAGCAAATTTGAAGCTGTGGATTTATTTCTTATAAATCCATGTTGCTCTTTCACCAGATAAGGTGATACAAATGATAACAAGTGATCATAGATCAAAGATTCAAATATTTTACCAAAATTTGATAAAATACTTATGGGTCTATAGTTTTCACATTCCGTTTTATCGCCACACTTGAGTATTGGGACAATAAATGCAAGCTTCCAAACAGATGGGAATTTACCTTGAGTAAGAGACATGTTATAGATCATGTGTAATGGTTCTAAAATTTCGTCTACACATTCGCGAATGAAATACGGAGGTATTCCATCAGGTCCAGCGCCTTTGTCTAACGCTATTGATTTAATTTTATTTTTAATATCATTACGGGATATAAAAATAGATGATATGCTGCAATTTGATTGCTTACCTACACAGGGTTTGCATCCCGCTAACTTTACACCGTCGTCTTTTTCTAAAACCGAAGAGAAAAATTCAGCGAAGAGATTACAGATGCCTTTTCGATCAGATTTGGATTTACCGTTGTAAGACATAATATGCGGAATACTTACATCCATTTTTTTAGATTTCACCAATGTCCAAAACATTTTAACAGACGCAGTTCTTCCCAACCAGTTTTCAACTAGGTCCCTAAAAGAGTTGTAAGACTGATGAATCAATCCTTTAGAGCGTTTACGCAAGATTGAGTACGAGTCATAGTCCCTCGGGTTAGCGTATTTTTTAAATCTACTATGCATCTTCTTTTGTTCTTTTAAGCACCGTATTAAGGCTCCATTGTACCAAATGGGATACGTATTACTTGTGCTTT